TGCCAGCACTCATATTCTGACAAAACGTCATCCAGTTTTCTTGCGGCAGCAGCTTCACATGACGCTTGGCCCAGTCAAAGCACCAGTCCAAGGCTGACGAAGCAATGGCAGACGCAGCTGCCCCAGATGCTGTGCCAGGATCATCAGCCTGCGTGGTGAAAGGTATCTGATGCATAGACACGACATCACTGCAACGTTGCAGAAGCAAATTCACATTCTCATTGTTCAGCGGTTGGACTTGAACTTCGAGCTTGCTCCCCGAAAATCATTGCCATTTTGGCATTGCACATACGGGCGCAGGCATGACGCGGAAAGCATCTGAGCAAAAGCAGACACCATCACTGGCACCTGGAGCAGCCTTAAGCAAAGGGATGTGACATGACTCAGAGGTGCATAAGTTTAGCTGAACACGTGGGCCGCTGCAAGCGCCAGGGGAGTCACATTGACTTGTTTGCAAAACGGTACTGGCATGTAAAGATGCAAAAGCCTGAGCTTTCAGGGCTCAACATGAAAAAGGTGAAAGGCTGCCTCCCATGTCCAAATGACATGCGCAGACTGAACCCACACACATCACTGCTTCGATGCCTTGTCAGGAGCTGAACCCCGCTTTCGGTCCTCCGCTTCGGCCAACGCTGCTTTCTCGGCCTCCTCTTTCTCCTTGGCTTCCTGCTCACGTCGCTTTCGCTCCTCTGCTTCGGCCAACGCTTTCTTCTTGGCCTCCTCCTTCTCCTTGGCTTCCTGCTCACGTCGCTTTCGCTCCTCTGCTTCGGCCAATGCTTTCTTCTCGGCCTCCCCTTGGCCAACATCGCCTTCAGCACCTGAACCAGGATTTCATGCGCAAGAAACTGATTAAAGGGCATTCGGAAAAAAGACAAAATGATTCATACGTCAACACTCAACGCGTCAACCCATGAGTGGCCTCCCCGCCGCCAGCAACAGGCTCCGTCTTCTGCTTCTTGGCACGCGGCTTACTCCCTTTGCCCTGAACAACCTCACGCTGATCAGCCTCCAACTTGTTCAGAGCTTCCTGCGCACCGAGCTTTGCAGCCTCCGCATCAACCAATGCTTTTTTCTCGGCCTCCTTCGCCTTGGCTTCCTCATGTCTTCGGCCAATGCTTTTTTCTAGGCCTCCTTCTTTTTGGCTTCCTCATGTCGCTTTCGGTCCTCCGCTTCGGCCAACGCTTTCTTCTCGGCCTCCGCCTCCTTCTCCTTGGCTTCCTGCTCACGTCGCTTTCGGTCCTCCGCTTCGGCCCATGCTTTCTTCTCGGCCTCCTCCTT